TCCACCCACCTCGCAGATGCAGATGATGACAAAATCCTGTTGAGTTCATGCTGTGATTCTATCCAAAGTAAACGCACTGATGCGTCTGTGCCAGGGCGGGGTGGTCGGCACCGCCGGCAGCTTCCCATGGCGCTGAGCACCATTTCTTTCCTCCCACCCATAGAAGCTTTTCCGGCTGCCCGGTGGTCCGACACTGACATTCAAGGTGATGCAGGTGGGTGCTTGCAGGAGCCTTCCCCCTTCCCCGCCGGCACAAGGGGCAGCATCTCATCCCCTCCTCTTCCTCCTGTGTCGTTCCCCTCCAGTACTCGCTGATCAAGGACGTGGTCTCGTCCCTCAAGCGACACCGCATGCACGAGCAGCAGTTCACCCATCACCCGCTGCTGGTCCTCAGCAATTTCGGTCTCCAGCAGATCCAGGTCAAGCTGATGGCCAGCATGTTCCAGAACATGTTCCCCTCCATCAACGTCCACAGGGTAAGCGAGGTCATGGGGGGCTGTCCTCACATTGCTGGGAGGGGGCTCAGCACCCATCCCACCTCCTCCTGTATTCCTCAGGGTTCAATTCTGTTCAATATATTTATCAATTATCAATATATTTATCGAAGATCTGGAGTTGATGACACCAAACTGGGAGGTGCTGATGACTCTTGAGGGACAAGTTGCCTTGCAGAAGGATCTAAATAGATTGGAGCACTGGGCAATGATTAACGGGATAAAATTTAACAAGTCTAAATGCCGGATTTTGCACCCAGGATGGAGTAACGCCAAGCACAAGTATAAATTTGGAGAGGAACGGCTGCCTGCAGAAAGGGATCTGGGGGTGCTGGGGGGCAGCAGGCTCAGGAGGAGTCAGCAGCGAGGGCAAATCCTGGGTGCAAAGACAGCAAAACGAGCTGGAACGCTATGTCCGGCTGCGTTCAGCGTTGGTCTGGTGTGGAGAGACGGAGGCTGAGGGGTGACCTCATTGCTCTCCACGGCTTCCTGAGGAGGTGCTGAGCTCTTCTCCCTGGGATCCAGGGATAGGACGCCTGGGAATGATTCAAAACTGCGCCAGGGGAGGCTTAGCCTGGACATGAAGCTTTTTTATTTTTTTTACCAAGAGAGTGGTCAAACCCTGGAACAAGCTTCCTCGAGAGGGGGTCAATGCCCAAAGCCTCTCAGGGTTTGAGACATTTGGACAATGCCCTTAACACCACGCTTTAACTTTTGGTCAGCCCTGAATTGGGCAGGCAGTTGGACTGGATGATTGTTGTAGGTCCTTTCTAACTGAAATCTCCCTTTTCCTCTCCTTCTCCTCTCCTCCTTCTCCTCTCCTCCCTTCTCCTTCTCCTCCTTCCACAGGTCAACCTCAACAGCATCAAGAGGTGTTTGCTCATCAGCTATGACGCGGAGACGCAGCTCCTCGATTTCAGGCACTAGTAAGTGTTGCGCCTCTGATTTTCGGGGCGGGGGGGGGCTGTCCCTGTGCCCTGTATCCCAGCGCTGACCTCTTCCTCCTCCTCGCAGCAGCGTGAAGGTCGTGCCCGTAGGTGTGAGCAAAGGCCTGAAGAAGCTGCTGCAGGAGAAGTTCCCCAACATGAGCCGCCTGGAAGACATCAGCGAGCTCCTGGTGAAGTGCGTGAGGGGGCACCGAAGGGGACAGGGGTCCCAGAGGCGCTTTCCATCCGGTCCCCAAACGCATTCCTGTCCCTTGGCAGGGACATAAACCTGTCAGAAAGTGAAGCCGAACAGGATGGGACCCACAATGTCCTGGAGCTACCGCAGGCATACGCCGGCCGAGGCAACATGAAAGCGCAGCAGAGCGCTGTGCGCCTCACCGAGGTCCGTGATGGCAGTGACGCCGCGGTTGCCATCGCCAGGATCGGGGACGTGATCGAGCCTGACCGGGGCTTTCCGCATCCCCCTCTTCCCGTAGATCGGACCCCGCATGACTCTGCAGCTCATCAAGGTGGAGGAGGGCCTGGCGCAGGGCAACGTGCTCTACCACAGCTTCAGTAAGTGCCACGAAACATCGTGCTGGCTGTCCCCGGTAAGCCACCGGCACGGGGTCTCAAGCCGGGGCGTCACACTCTGCTCTTGCCGTGTGTTTTAAGTCCATAAGATGGAGGCGGAGGTGAAGGAGATCCTGGCGCGGAAGGAGGCGAAGCTGCAGCTGAAGGCGGAGCGGAGGCAGAAGCAGGAGGCGGATGTGGAGCGCAAGCGGCAGCAGCGTGAGGCTCACCGGTAAGGGCAGCACAGCAGCGGTGGCGTCCGGTAGCGACTGGGCAGAGGCTGACACCATGGTGGCACAACAGGGAGAAAAGCCTGGCGGGGATCCGGAGGAAACGGCAGCAGGATGGCGACAGCGACGCTGAGGATCCCGGTGCGCCGGAGCAGCAGGATGCGGCCGAGCAGTCGGAGGAGAGTGATGCCGAGTATTATCGGCAGGAGGTGGGCGAGGAGCCGGACAAAGGTGAGTCTGGAGGGGCCGGGACCAAGACCCTCTGTCCTCTCCTGCTGGTCGTGGCTGATGATGCAAAAACCTTGAGCTCTCCGTGATCTCGGTTCAAAGTAAACGCACTGACACATCCGTCAGCCCCAACGCTGCGCCGCCGTCGCCCCTTTTCTGCTGAAACCCCCCCCTTTTTTTGTTTTTGTTTTTTTTTTTGCCTATTCCCTCCCCAAGATCTGTTCCCTGACCGCACCAAGAGGAAGCGAAGCTCTTCAGGCGCTGCCCCGCTACGGAAACGA